GAGAGAGAGAGAGAGAGAGAGAGAGAGAGCTCAGAAGAAGAATGAAGGGTCCTCTAAATACAAGAATCAATACAACAAGAATATGAATAATGGAGAAATAAAGCTTGATACAAGAAAACTGTGAAACAGGGCAAAGAAAGGGTCTCAAATTCTAAAACATCCAGTTGATATGTGATTTCAAGGGACAAAGTGAGAAGTGCTTACGTCTTTGGTTCATTGTACTCGAGATATTCTCTCTCTACTTCCTCTGTGACTGTTTTCACTTTGCTGGTGGTGCTTTGGGCTTTGGGCTTCACTTCGGGATACATGACAGCTGCACAGGCTTCTCCCCCAACAGTGTCACACGCTTCTGCAGGAAATACTCTGCAAAGACAAACAGTGTCAAACTTTTCTCTCTCTTGTAGAACTCAAGAGGCAACCATGGGCATATAAAGGCAAAATTTTGCCTACTACTAACTGCAGAAGGCCATCTGGATTGTAACTACTGATGCTGTTGTTAGGATCAGGAATTCAGGATGAAACAGCAAAAGCCTCTCTCTCTCACACACACAAATGTGTTGTGATGGAACCATCGGAGCCTCTCTCTCTCTCTCATATGCTTTGATGGATCCATAGGAGCGAGACTTTCTATTCACACATGACAGAAGGCAATCAACACGGTTCTCATACTTCTATTAGCATTCTCTGGGTTTCCCAAATTTTCAAATTACACAAAACATAACCTCCCTCCCTCTCTCTCTGAGATGACTTACGAAGTCGAGGAGCTGTAGTCGACTGTCGAAGTCTCGCCAGCCATTGAAGACCTAGGCAGCCTCAAAGCAAAGGGTCTCGCCCGCACATGTGAAGCCCATGGAACAGAGGCCTTGGAATGTGTGATCGGTATCGGGGTAGCAATGCCCAAAGCTGCTTGCATTTTCTCAGGTCTTCGGTTCCCAGAAAGAACACAGGGTCTGTAAATCTCCTAAACAACACTCTGATTCAGTGTAAAGATATACAACTGCAAAGCGTGTGTACATACATTTGGAGGGTCCTATTATTTGTATTAGGGATTTCATTGTTGGATAAGGCCCCAATCCTAAAGATGACATGTGTAAAGATATTTTGTGTAGGTAAGGGGATCCTTGTTAACCACCTATTGTGACATGAAAGAGAAAGGACAACATACACTGATGGTGTATAGAAGTATCAGGGTGAATGTCCCAGTGGACCCAACCGTAGTTTATCTCCACCTTCTTTCATCAGGGATGGATGGTGGATCCCCCTGGGTGCATTGTGTAGCATGACCATTGGGGTTTGGTATGGATTTCCTACATAGAAAGGTTCCCTTGTCCCCCATAAGGCCGGTCTGGGTCAAAAACAAATGAAGACAAAAAAAAGATAAAAAAAAAAAAAAGGAGGGCTAGGCCGGTCACTGCACTACTTTCTTAGGCCCGGACTGGGCTACCCAGCCCATTGCCAGCCCTAAAACTGGGGGACCAGCTTGGATTCTTGGTCTTTTCTGTTTGAATTGGATGGATGGCCTAGATCTCATGCATGGAGTGTACACTGGAGATTACTGGTCCATCGTAACTGCAATCCTTCCATGTCATGCGAGTGTTGCTAGGGTTTTGCTTCATATAAAGCCAAAATGACTCAAAGGTTCCAATCTAATCAAAGTATACGAAATGTCAGATCTCTTATGTGAAATTTCATGGTTGTAACCTATTATCTTCTTTCAAGGTGGCCTCCTTGTTCCTTGGTGATATTTCAAGGTTTCAACTTTTTATCTCCACCGACATGAGAAAGCATCAGACAGAGTCTCTCTCATCCAACGGTCTCTCTCTCTTTTCGTCTTCTAGATTAAAAGCACCGCTCCATCTCCACCATGGGTAAGGCCCAATTAAAACAAAGTGGGCCCATGAATTATTTTGATCTCTGCCATCATGGGGACGACAGAAGACATTGGCAATATCAACCAGTATTTGACTGTGAAGTGCATCAAGAAATTGGGAAATGTATCTCACTCTAAGGATAAAGATATGATGCTGATATTTACCTAAATATTACTCAGCAAAACTGAAATAACAGAGAGTTTTATATATCATGTACATAAGTATTTTTACCCTGGTCCATAATTGGCGGCTATCTTGAATAGAACAAAATATCCACCTCATCCATGACTCGTATAAACCAAGAACTCTCAAAATTATTTCTTCCCAAAAATATCTCCACGGACCTAGTATTTCAAATTCATAGCAGGAAGCTAAAATTAGTTTTGTTGATTCTGTACCTCGTGCTACACTTGTCGTGACCATGGCAACCTTATCACTTTTTCCATCTTTTACATTTTGTTTTTGACAAGTGAAAATCCTGTCAAGGTTATTCTCCCAACAAAAATTAAACAGTACAACCAATTTTTTCTTCCTCGCGCCCTTTGTGTTGATTTATAGTCTCAAACATAGTTACTGGGAACCGCAGCAGGAACGGCTACGGGATCGGGAATAGGATAGTCGGATTCACATGGGCCAAAAGTTCTGGTAGTCCGGGATTGAGATCCATATGACATATCTAGCCTGGAGTTGGATCCCAAATGTAAAGGATCTCGGTCCCAAAGCTCATGGGATCTCGATCCCATTTCCCAAGGGCTGCCTTTCCCACTTCTCATGGATCCCAAATACCCAGGGACAGCGATCTGTATAAATTGGGGTCCTCGATTCATAAATATAAATTGATCGCAGTCCCAACACTCACAAAAATTAGATCCCATTGCGCAACAGACAGACTTCCCTCTTCCAATTGTGTTAAATGCTTTAATTATCTCAAGTCTTGGTATTGTTTATACATTTTACAACTCTAGTTTAATATTCTACAATCCACAATCTATATATAGCAATCTAAATATTTTAATTCTTGATGTTTGGGACCCTACATAATATGGATGGCGATCCACAAATATAGGGATTGAGATACCAGAATTGGGGGATTGAGATCCCAACATGATAGGGATCAAGATCCACAAATAGAAAGACTAAGCTCCCTCATTAGGTGGATCCAAAATCTGTATAAATAAGGGATCGAGATTCCCCGAAAAAAGGATTGAGCTCCCTCATTAAAAGAAAAAAGCTCCGGTCGATATCCTTGCTTTGGAGTGTGGGATCTGGATTCTGGAGCCAGAAACACGCCCTTTTGGGAGTACTCCTAATAACTAAGGTCCGAACTGACAAAAATCAGTGGTCCAAATATTTAAGCAGTTAAGGTGCCTTCAAAGCCCTAAAAAGCAATCAAAATTACTGGTCCAAACACAGGGCACCACTTGCACATGCATACTTCCAGAGTCATCCACAAAACTAGAAGCTTGCGTGTTTTATTCAGCAAATGTGTATGTCTCAACTCTCAAATGTCTAATGAACATCAAGAAAGGGTTCTAACAGAACAGAACAAAGAAAGCATGACTAAAACTTCCTCAGACACGCTGAAATTAATGACAAAGTTGTCGAACACAAAGCTCTGAAGGTTCCTTGGTGACCTGAGGCGTCTAAGCCCAGACACCGAGCATAGAGCCCAAAAGCTACAAACCAATCAGCCTTCATAATAGATGTAAAAAAAATTTCCCCAATGATTGAAAATTATATTATAAACATTATTCCATGTTATACGGTCAAGTGCACTCAGACATGCTTTGAAAATTATGGAATGTTTGAGTTTGTTTTGATTTCTGGATTTCAGAAGCTTCAAAGAATGCTCAACATTTCTTTTGAAAATAGAATACTAAAACTTCAAATAGACCAAACTATCAAATGAGTGCTCCAGTCATCCTAAAAAACACAGTCAGTGCCAGACTTGTGATGGCAAATTAGCTCTTATCCCAAATAAGCAAAAACATCCTATCTAGGTTTACATGCAATCCAATAAGCAGGGAAAAGAAAGGAACCCACAAGCAAGAGAAATTAGATTATCAAGGCTTCTCTCAAATCAACAAAAATAATCAAAGCATCAGTTGATAATTGGTAAAGAAAACAGAAAATGGGTGTTTCAAGATAAATACTGTAACTGTAACTTGGTTCAAGTTAAATATGGTTGGGACTTCCCTAACCCATACTTTCCCAAGGGAAAAGAAAAAGTGTGAAAAAGAAATTGTAAAAGAGTGCCCCAAAACAGCAGCAACCCAATTCTTCGCTCAGCTTTCAGTAAATCAAGTTCAAAATGTTATGCAGACAGAGCAGTCCAAACCAATCAATATCATTAAAATTTTGGGCAAACACACATACATATATGATCATACATGTTATGCATGGCTATGTTCACACATGAACTAAACAATATACATACATACCTTCAGAAGCTGTGTAGCTGGGTGAGCATGGGCACCAATTCTTCACTCGATGGCCGATCAGCAGGCATATCAGATAGACAAACAACTGCAATTCTCATGGCCATAAGCATCTCTTCTTCCTCTCCTTCCTCCCCAACAAGCCCTTCGTCCAGGCCTTCACGAGCATCACCCACTTGTTGTAGTTGCCTAAGCCACCGACCCATCATGCTCCCCCCACCCCCTTCTCCAAAAGCAGAGTCCATGGGGTCCCTTCCAGTTAACAACACAGCTAAAACAACCCCAAAGCTAAATATATCACTCTTATCTGTATATCTACAGCTTTGCAAGTACTCTGGAGCTGTATAACCAGAACCCACTTTCCCCAAATTTGGTAAAACTCTAATCAGCCCTAAGTCTCCAAGTCTTGGCTCGAACTCTTCATCCAAGATCACATTTGAAAGCTTCAAATTATAGTGCAAAACCCTAGGGTTGCACCCAAAGTGAAGATACTGCAACCCTTTGATCACCCCAACTGCTATTCTATGCCTAACTTCCCAGCTAAGTTGCAACTGGTTTGACCTGACCTTTTTCATGACCTCTTCAAGGCTACCATTTGGCATGTAATCATAAAACAAGAAGAACCCATTTGATTCATGAATATATGCTCGTAAGCTCAAGATGTTTCTGTGTTTTAGGCGGCCAAGAACCTCAAGCTCTTGCTGCATCAATCTCTTGGTGGATTTGGGCTCGCTCTTTTGTTGGGTTTCGATCTTTTTAATGGCAATTAGAGGTCCACTGCCATTTTCAAGATGAGCTTTGTAGTACTTGCCATTGGAGTTCGAACCAATGAGATTGCAGTCTGGTAGTGGGTTCTCTTGAATGAGAGAGATTATGGTTTTTGAGGTTATTTTTGGGGAAAAAATAACAGGTCCTTTGAGAATTGGGGTTCTACTAAGATAGAAGATAGAGATTCTGATGAAAGTTGCAACAAGTACAGCTGATAAAAAACCAGTTATTGTGCCTAAGAGGACACCTAAGGCAATTCTTTTGGGTTGGCTTCTGTTGCCATGGAGATTTGAGGAAGGTGATAGTGCTTTCTTCCATGGAGTTGATTGGTGAAAGCTTAACGTTTCTCGGCTTTGGCATAGAGGGAAGAGGTAACAGAGTAGGAATAACTGCAGGAGGAAGATTGTTTTCTGTAAAGGGCTCATCTTGCGTTCTTTAACTTCTGCTCCAAAAGAAACAGTGACTCCACAGAGAGAAACTAATGTATGATCACTTGGTTTCCAAGATCATGCAATAAATGCCTGTAAGAATCATTTCAGGTCATGCAAATTGCTCTCTCCCCGAAAATTTCCTTAAAAGCATTTGAGGAAGCTAGATTAAAAGTGGAGCTTTAAACAGTACACAGCTATCAGAGATTACACTGAAAATGCACGTAATTGCATAAAGGATCAACACAATCTCTTTTTTAACCCTAAATCATCGAGTATTCACTTTAAGCATCCATTAAAGCTCGACATCAACCTGCAAACCCTATAGTCTTGACTCTTCAGAATCATAATGTGCTTCCCATAATGAGAAGAGAAAAATTCCATGGAATAAGCGCCCTTCCTTTTACTTCCTCACCTAAACTTATTTCACACCGAAATACTGAAATATCAGGAATGAAGAACTGGAAAAAGTACCAGTTTAAGCTTTTAACAGAAATCTGGTCCTTTACTGATCTCCTGAGAAACACTTCAGATATTCAATAACAAGGAAAAGCTTTAACAGTTGGTGTTAAAGAAGAAAGAGGAACAAGATAGATTAACAAATGCCTCCATTTATCAGCATTTCTCCCATTTTTTTTCATGAACACTTCAGAAGAAGCTTCAAAGAAAATACTCACTGGCAAATCCTCCGACAAACCAATAAAGCATCAGTTCACTGTAATCTGTGTTTACCGCTTTTTACCCTGTTTTGTCCATAAATCTTCAAAATCAGCGCTATGAGGTTCACTCCTTTTGCCATTTCTCTCCATGAATGAGCTTAAACTATTTCTAAGCTATAAACAAAGCATAAATTAATCTAATGGCCCGTCCCTGCTCTCTTTTCCGTGCACATTGTGGAAGACACCATGAACAGGCAAAAGCTCTTAACAAGGGGAACTTTTACTCATCGTATTACAAGAAAAAAATTTGAGAAAAACTGAAGGGAAAGTGAAAATGGGGTGTAACAGGGAGTTCAACTTCAAAAGGTTATCTTATCTTTGGGGTATGGCCTGAAATTCCTCTGTAACCCACCCAGAGAAGCATGTAGGTCGTGGGCTACTCGGCTTTGAGAAGAGAGAGAGAGAGAGAGAGAGAGAGAGAGAGTACTTTTAGAGAGAGAGAGAGAGTTATTAAGCTTTCTCTATTAGTTTCAGGGAAGGCCTGAAATTCCCCCTGCAACGAAACCAGAGAATACAGTGACAATGAGCCGCCTTCTAAAAAGTAACAGAAAATAAAAAGACTGAGATTTCAAAAGACAACACAAAAAGGTTAGAGAGAAAGAGAGCGAGGAGAGAGAAAAGAAGACGTTGGTGAAAAATGCCAAGTGACTATCCATGTCTGGCTGTAAATGACGAAAAGCCCATCTAACTATATCCAAATACCCAAATAGTCTCTTATCCTCTAAGTTTGAGCAGCCTTTTAGCTCAAGAGATGTGAGATTATTTATTTTTTATACAAAAATGTCATAATTATTATTAACTATTAGATGTGAAATTAAATGGGTGGTGATGTGAGTACAAAGTTCCAAACAAATATTTTCAAAAGCTATATTGCATATCTTGAGGGTGCGATTTCTATAAGGTTGCAGCCTTAAGCAATCCAATTAAGGCCCCACCTCTAAATTTTGCCATAGTGTGCGATTTTGGTGTAAAAAATATTAAGATTATCTGAAAACCTATTTTTATATCTAATTATAAAATTTTAAGCTCAAAAAATTATTAAAATCAAGTAGATCTATAAATATATGATAATATTAAAAATGGACAGTCTAGATGATGAGTTGCAACATACACTATTCTTGGGACTCAAACTACTTTTTTTTATTTTTTCATATTCATACATCTCGATGTCAAGATGGTCAATTAGAGAGTTTTTCAACATTAAAACAACCTTTTCCAATTGAGTTTTGAAGTGCATATGTGATTCTACATTTTAAGGTTGCAACCATATGTAAACTTTTTTCATATTTTAATATGTTAGATTTCATATCCAATGGCTAAAAAAAATTATAATTTTTTTGTATAAAAAATAAATGGTCTCAAACGAACGAACTTATTTAAGAACTTTACGTTCATAGCCCCCTTATTGTTTTTCTAATTTATTTATTTTTTCAAATTTTTGTTTTCATTTTATTACACTTTCTTTAGCTTTTCTTTCTTATTTTTCTTTTTATTTTTCACTAAATTGCCTTGCTTTGGACATCAGGTTCATACTTGGATAAGTGTTCTTCATGCACTTGAGTCAAACCTTCAAAATTCGAATTTGTTCCAACAACAAATTCTGGAATTAATATTCGAAAATTAAAAAAAATATATCAGACTTAGAAGAGCTGAAGTTGTTCCAAAAACATATTGTAAGGTTACTAAGGAAAAAAAAAAAACTAAGTACAAACTTTGAATCTTAGAGGTCTAAAGTTTCTTTTTGATGTTTAGAGTAAATTTTAAACCTTTAAAGTTTGAAGATTATTTTTAGAATAATTCAAGGTTGCATTTCAAGCAAAGGGTGAACTTTCTAAAAGTGTGAAGTTTTTTTTTGGAGCAAATTTGAATTTCTAAGTTGTCATAAATAATTATTGAGGCCTTGATCCTATTATTAAGCATCAGACTTTTAAGGTCCAAAATAGAGGTAATTTATTAAAATATAAAAAAATTTAAACAAATAAGTGTGAAATTCATCATCATCATTATTAGATCCTTATCCCAACTATTTGGGATCAATTGAAAAAAAAATGTGTGAAATTAAAAACAAAAAAAATAAAAGAGACTTTATATTCGAGTTTCTATTGCTCAGGGTTTCAAGACCCGAATCAATGGAATAGATTGTCCTGACACCTATGGATCCTTGTTGAATTATTAGATCAACGATCTAGATCATATTTGGGATCGGTGCTCTAAAAAATATTATAAATAAATAAAAATAAAAATTTATAGGGTGAGGATTCAAGAGGGCTTAAAAAATATAATGTAAGTTTTAAAAAGGAACAAAACATATAAAAATAGAGATATTTTAGGAGGAAGTGAGTCAATAACCATTCTATTCCAAAACCAATTCAGTCAAGACCACTGATTCCCATCCAGATATGCAATTTAGATTGGAAACCAATCCGCTCTTCTTTGTATGTGCGTAAATTCTGATCTGTCCAAACCAAGGACATCAATGTCATACATAAAAATAATATGTGGACCAAAGGATCATTTTAAAATTAGTTAGTGACACCTTCGGTCATTTCGCCTCGAAAATAATGGAAAATGGCACTCCGTCTCTCTCTCTCTAAATCACTTTCTCTCTCTAAAATTTCTCTCTTTCCCGCCATCTTGAGGCTGTACAGTGGGCCCTACCCCTCACTGCCACTTCACGAGACCGAAAGCAAATGTCCCCCCCCCGCTCCTCGGGGTGCGATGATCATTTACGTTACAAAATCACAGCCGTCAGTCCACTAGTCTCATATGAACCGTCCGATCTCCTAGTTCCATATGACCCGTTCATCTGGCATCTCGCATCAAAGCATTCCTTTTCTCGTGTTCTATTTTTATATTTAATAATTAAAAGGAAATGCGATAAAGCTTATTAAAAGCGAGGAGAATAACTTTTTAAAGGTCTTTTCTGGTTTAATTAGTCGAGATAATGAATAACGAATATTCGCAGCTTTTCCTGAGGGACTCAGATAGCGCCACGTGGGGATACGAAGGGACGAGATTATACTGTGGCTCGCACTCGTTTCGTCTAGAGAAAAGAGTCCACTTTATATGCACGTGTGGAATGCCCCTTGGCATATGAGTCGATATTTTAACCGAAATTAACATTTTTTGGAGAAAAATCTCGGTTAAATTTCGGCCAAGAATAGAGATTTTCTAGTGAAAATGTCGGCGAAATTTAGGCTGAGAATGGATATTTTATTTTCTAGGGAAAATTTCAGCTATATTTTTGCCGAGATTTTAAGGTTGGCCCTAGGGCCTAGAATGTATGTGGTTCCTAACCATAGTTAGCAAGTATCTAAGGCAATTTTTTTTTAAAACGATCTGATTTTTAAATTTGTTAAAAAATTTCAAGTTTTTTAAAACTTTTTTTAAAAAAATCATATTTTTTTTTAAGAAAAAGTTTATACAAGGAGGCAACCTTATATGGTAGAACTGCGGATGCACCTCAAAAATCCATCTAAAAAAGTAGTTTTAATGTTGAAAAACCCTTTGAATGATCATCTCGACAACGAGATATATAAACATGAAAAATAAAAAGATTTTAAGTCTCAAAAATAATGCATTTTACAACATATTATCTACACCGTCCATTTTCAAGATTTTCATATGTTTATAGATCTACTTGATTTTAACCATTTTTGAAATTTAAAATTGTATATAAAAATAGATTTTGAGATAATTTTAAGAACATTTTACATCAAAATTATATAAATTTGAAGGTGCACCTTACCTCTACAGCTACGGATGCATCTGTATGCCAACTGCACCCTTTTTTTTAATACAGCCAATATAAATCTTTATCTTATAGTTTTAAAAAATTCTTCGTACACATTGATTTATATTTTTCATTATTTGCTAATGTAGTTATTGCGCTTAGTATTCTTGTTTCATTATATGCTCCCAATAAATATCTATCATATGTTTTGTGTCGCCACAATAGAGTAAGCATTGTTGTTGTATTTATTGAAAATGTAGACAAAATTTGTTAAGTATTACTCTAATAGCACTAGGTAAGCAAATAAAATTGTTGTTTAATAAAACTTTAATATATCCATAGAATAACTACATATCACAATCTTATCTTATGTCATCTCTACAAATGCAATATTTTTCGTAGCCTTTTTATCTTATGTCATCTCTACAAATGCAATATTTTTCATAGCCTTTTTTAGTCCAATCCGAAATGTCGACAACACTTTAACTTGCCCAATATTTGGTGATTTGAATTTTTTACTCAATTTTTTGCCTCCAACTTTTTGGAACAAATTGATTTATTACCGATATTTTGGTTTGCCGATATGTTGTTTATTCGCCAACTATAATCCCTATACAACGGTTGAGATTAGTTATTTCGTGGACCTTACGGTCCTGATTCAGTAGACATGGTTAGGCATTTGGTGCAAAATGACATTCTAGTTGTGAATGGTGCATTTAAATCTATATGTATATGTGCACATTGTATCTTGACCCTCCATTTGTTTGGCCGGTCCAGATCAAAAATAGCTGGTTGATGGGGTCTGCATCCAAGAAGTAAGTGGGGCCGTCACTGCTTGATCAGCACTCGTAATGGGAATGGACGGTCTATAAGTGCCATGTGCATAAGGGGTATGGCTTGAGTTAGACTGGTGGGTTGGGTCTGCCTGCCATGCTTGATGTGGACTATAAGGGAAAGTTTACATAGGAAACTCATTCTCGTATTAAAAAAGTGATGTGCACTGCAAAAACCTATTAAAAAATTATTCAAATCCTTAAAAACCTCCAATGCTGTGGAGACGTATAAATATGAAAAAGAAAAGAAAGAAAGAAAATAAGTCTCGCATCTTGTAACACATTGTGTAGGTTAACTATTTTCAAATATATATATATAAATAAAAGGGGAAAGTTTTTATACCAATTTTTTGAACTTTAAATTTCATTTTTTAAGCTACAATATATATATTTTTTCTTCTTTTTCTTTCCCTGAAGTGACTATCATATAGGGTTCGCAACGGGCCGGGCCTAGGCTGGGTAAAATTAAAGGAAAATAGAACAAAAAGGACAAAAACTTAAGGGCCGAGGCAAACCAAGTAGGGCTTATCTTGACCTGTTTCCAGCTCTCAGGCCACTTTTGTGGCTCATGCCCTAGTTTCTGGGGCTAGGCATGTTGTGCCGGTCGTGTCTAGCCACGACACATTGCCACCCCTACCATCACAAGAGTTTTAAGATGCGGTTTGTATAGAGCTGAGGCTCTAACAATCAAATTAGAGCCCACCTTCAAATAATGTTGAGAAATATGGTTTCAATACTGAAAAGTTTTATGATATATTTTCATCTTTAGTTATAAAATTTAAAGCTTAAAAAATAATGTAGATCGAGCAATCTATGAAAACTTCAAAATCTTGAAAACTAACGATCAAAATATACGTTACAAGATGCACTATTTCCAAAACTTGAAATCCATTTTTTTCTAAAAAGTATATTAATGTTTATGTTATTTTATCATGAGTGATGTAGTAAGGTTGCACTTGTAAGTTTGTGTAGCCGAAAGTTGTAAAACTGCTAGGTGGTTAATAGTTATTGTTGCAAGTGAG